TTTTTTTTTTTTTTTTTTTTTTTTTTTTTTTTTTTTGAAAAAAAATAAAATAAACAAAAGCTTGCAAAAGGGGTAATTAAATCAGTACAGAGGTCGATCGATCAAAGTCGGTTATCTGTACAGTAGTCAGCTTGCCCGGCGATATCGGAGTTTAAACCAGCCTTACGCTCCCACTTTTTTCCCACTTTTTTCCCACTTCGTTCCCACCTCCTCCTCTTCCTCAACTCCTCTGGCGCGGGTCTCGCGAAAACCGGTCTCGGCCAAACGGCTTTCGGTAAAATCAACTTCTGGGCAGCAGAACCTCAACAAAAAAAAAAAAAAAATTAACTCTCTCAACGTTGTTGTCATTATAATTAGTACCGGTATATCTATCAACGTCGGCCGGGTATCCAAACCGCACTGCTTGCTTGGACCTCCAGACCTCCCTCCTACGGGGGACGGCGACGTGCGAAAGAAAAAAAAGAACTTATATGCGAAATAGAATTGCCATCCAAGCGGGGAGCAGAAACGACGTTCAGGAAAAGCTCTCTCTCTCAAATCGCAAACGCTTTACCTATCAACCCTTCTAAAAGCAATGAATGCATATAGTAATGCGCGCCGAGTTTTCTCTCGTCGGCTGATCGGATACGTATGGCTCTACGAGCGGCCTCCATTCGTCTCAGTAAACATATCGTTCCCGTTTGGTCGTGAAGCTAAAAGGGCTCGCGCTTATAGCCCGCATGAAAAAAATTGCCGGTGTATTTGCAACCCGCTCTTTTCGAAGGCGCAATATTGTGTTTTCGATTAGTCGAACTAAGCCTTTCTTATCTTATCTTCTACGTAGTATATCCGTTTTTTTTTTTTTTTTTCGTTTTTTTTTTTCGCAAACCTTCTTGGTCTTTCCAATCCGCATGTCCGTCCGTCAGGTATAGATCGCAGCCGGCGTAATATTCGAGAAGAAAGAAGAAGCAGGTTTGGAACCCGCGAACACAAAATAAATGTCGTCGAAGAGACGTCGCATGCCAGTGATTTAATCTCGGCTTTCGAAGTGGACCCTTTGCCCCGCAAAAGAGAGCTGGAGGTTCGTGAGAGGCAGCGTCGTACCAGGTAGAGAATCGTAGCCTCTCACGTACCGGTATCTCAACGTCGCCATCCTGATCGAGTGGTTCTCGCGCTGACTGACCGCCGTTGCCTTGGTAGAGTGCTCCCTTGTTGGATTTCAGCTATGTCGATTTTGCGGAGCACATTCATTACATAGACTACATGCACGTATCTGCTGTAAACTTCTATTAAAACATGTGTTGAGTATACCGTCATTACCCTGATTAGCTAGCTGACCTTGATCCTAACCCAGCTCGCCCGCTCGCCCTACTATCCCCCCCCCCCCCCCCCCCATGAATACATGCCGGCCTAGTTCAGGCCCATAAATCATAGAGCGGTGGTTTCGGAATGGCCCAACGCCCTGTCAACTCCATTGTACAGACTACAAACTGACCTAGATGTACTTTTCAAGGCTGGATTCTGACAAGTTGATTGGTTTAAGCCCTGGTCAGATCCCTTGCGAAATTATACTTTCGACATGTACTACTACTACAGTACGTATTCATGGGGGAGGGATAGTAGCGCTTAAGCTTTCATCTTAAGCTTTTCTAGGATCTGAGCTTAAAAGCAAACCTCCGCTCCGAATTAAGCTCGGGTTTCCATGAAGTCTTCTCCCCACCCCATGAATACTACTGTACGTACATGTCGGGAGTATAAATTTGCAAGGGATCTAACCAGGGCTTAAACCAATCAACTTGCGTAGTATAAGAATCCAGCCTTGAAAAGTACTACGGACTACGTACTACTACCACGATACAGGCCTAAGTAGTAGTATTACCCCTCGAGGGTGCCTCAAAAGTTTGGTTTCCAATTTAGACCACCTGGTTACCCTACCTACCCTCGAGAGGTAATACTTCCGCCCGGGACGTAGTACGTAGTACCTTTAGGTCAGTATTTAGTCTGTGCAGTAGAGTTGATAAGGCTTTGAGCCATTCCGAAACCACCGCTCTACGGTTCATGGAGCTAAACTGGCCCGGCATTTATTCATGGTGGGGGGGGGAGGGATAGTAGCTCTGCTCAGATAATCGATTGAAGGTAACCATGCGAGCTTGATCGTGAGCTGCCGAAAGCTCCACTTACGTAGTATTACGGCTGTCAAAGGCAGTAGTACTGTAGTAAGTACCAGCTAGGAGTACGCTCTGTCCCAAACTACTACTAAGAAAGACGAAAAAGGAAAGAAGAAAAAAAAAAAAGGAATCATCCATAACCCAGAGGTCTTGTTCGTAAGCAGGCATGCTAAAACGGAAACGAAAAGATCGCCGAGGTAACGTGTACAACCTACAGACCGTATCTGTAACAGACCGTATCTGTTGGATCGCCGCTACCGTAGCGGATGTTTCTCATCGCTAGTGTGCCGCGCACGTACGTACGGTAGTAGTAGTAGGTTTCTCGCACTTGCACAACTGTCGGTGAAAACGGTCTCGGAATCCTGTCTGCTCCCCCAAGGTTTCGGGGACGTGGATTCCTTCTACTTACTACGTATGAGTACGATTGGAAGGGATCACGAGGGCTAGCTACTACTACTACTAATACTACGTATATGTCACGGTACGAGAGCAAGGTCTTCGAATGAGGTCTAGATTGTGTACGAGGGTATGGAAGAGATACTACGTAGTAGTACTAAGGTACAGGAGGAGATACGTACCTAGTAAGTCCATTGTTGTGGGGGTCCGTGCGTCCCTCCGCCTTGGCATTCCGTGGCCGAAATGTTTGTTTCCTCCCCTCACACTACCGGTATACAATACAGTAGTACCGGTATTAACAAGGAAGTTGGGGGTCCCTGAGGGTATGCCACGCTAAGCGAGGCATGCTCCATCCGTAACCGAGCTGGCCCCAACCGAGCTGGGTCGATTACCGGTATTGATGTACCGACAGGATCCAAAGCCTCGTGCTTGCCTCTACGAAGTAGTGATCGCTCGTATCGTAGTATTACTTTCCTTTGTCGGAGAGCTGCGTGCTCGTAAATTGCAATTACCAATTTATTATCTTTCAGGTCGCTGTAAATCGTACTTCCAGCTTATTATTTAAATAACTCAGTAGCGTATCTAGATATAGAAGTCAACATCGAGTGATTTAATCGGCGTAATTCTTAGATACTAAATGCATAATATTTTCACAGCTAGTTATTTACTGTCGCGATTTTTAACGCATGTATTTGCTAGGGTTTTTTTTTTTTTTTTTTTTTACTGATTTGAAGGGCTGGAATCCCGATACAAAAATTTATAAATAATCTACATCTCGAATAAAGCAATACATAAATAAGCTAACGTATTGTAAGCTGATTTTATAAGTTTGGCGTCATCGTTAAATATTAGAACATAAAGTCCTCATAATCAACTATCGTTTATAAGACGAATAATATGGTAAAAAGTACTAAAGCCTCAACGCCGAATCAGGAAGCTTCCATCGCTGATTTGGGCGCTGTTTCCGTGATCGTGACTTCTTGCGCTTGAGCACTGATCAGTTAATACTCAAAGGTTAAATCTGCATGCTGTACTCCGTACCGTAGATTGGTGGAACCTTGCGCGGTGGAGCGCGCTAACTGTGGGAGTTTATACGATGTTGTTTTGTTCTATGTTGATTGAACTGAAGATAAGTAAAGAATAAGCGAGGTACTCCGGTAGGTATACGACGAACTTGAAATTGAGCTACTATGCCGTGCGGTTTGCGACATTAGAAGTGCTTACCTAGAGAGAAGGTGTATTACCGATTAAGAAGGCATCGCTTCAACGTACTACTACTATGTCATCCTAATCGGACTGTTTTCCATATCCTCGTGCACTCCTGCAAGTCCATCCCGAGCGAACCGTGCGAGGCCGCTGCAGAGGCCTGAATGATGGCCAAAATAAGACTGGCATTCGCCAAACATCACCCGGCCTTCCTTCAATGCCAGATAATCCGCCTTTTGGGGCCCGCCGTTATCAAGAAATGCCTGCCACTAATCGAGCGTGTGGGCCAGATCTCGAGCGAACGGTGGCTCTTTCACCATCCTCCACAGCAGCACTTCAACCGCTCTTCTCAGGTCATGACTTTCCTGCACGTGGCCTGTCCATTTCAGCCATAGAAGGTTGTGTTCAGCGACGAGCTTGTTATCCCACTTGGGACTTTGAACAGCCTCCACGATCCTGGTGTCGGCCCTTTGGGCGCCCCTTCTCCTGATGGCATTCAAGCCTTCAAACCACTCATCATGTTTCTTGCTGACTCTCTCTCGGAATGCTTTGGCTTTCTCTGCTGGCGACAAGGACATTTCTCTCATCATAGCCCGGGAGGACTCTCTTAATTTTCTCATCACAGTCTCGCGCTCCTCTTCTTCATCGTTGTATTTAGTGGCCCACTCTGGAGTAGCAGATTCGTCAATAATACAAAGAAGCGCAAGCACACCGCATAGAATCGACTCTCTCTGTGAGAAGGCAAAGATAGCGGTAGGGACTTTGTAATTCCAGAGCATTGTCTGGGAAGATGTGCTGAGTACAGTGAGAGCACTTGCGAACCAGTCACCAGTCGAGTGGACACGCATCTCTTCGCCGCGAAGATGGTCAATGGGCAGTGGCTCGACGACATCGAGATCATGCGGGATTGCGGTCTTCAAACCGGTAATCCCGATATGACAGCGGATCATCGGTGTGTGCTGCCCCGTCGCCAGATTGACTTTCAACATCGAAGGGTGCTCGATGTCAAAGGACATACATTTGGAGATGGAAGCGCGCTCAATATCGATCTCGTTGGTTGCGCACTTGGGTTCATCTGTTGGCTCAACACTATGTTCGGCCTTGAAAGCAGTTGTAACCTCTTGAACATTCTTGACGGTACATTTCTCGAGGAAGATGTCTCCATCCAATGCTCCTCGAAGTATGACCCAGTATATGATGACAGAGGTGACCAGATAGGAGGACTGAAGGCGAAGGGTAGATGCAGAGAAATCTGAGAGCAAAAGCAGGGGAATTGCGGGTAAGAAGAGTCAGGGAATAGCACAAAACACGCACACTTCAGCCGCAATGGCGGAAAGGGGGATGGCTGAGTTGGGCGTGTAGATTCGACACGGAGACAATCGCGATTTTGGCGATCGAAATTCGAAAATGTGTACGAGAAAAACCCAATATGCCCAAAATAAACTTGAGAAAGATCACGGACTGCAATTGGAAAGGCAGTTCGTTTTTCGTATGTATGTATGTATGTATGTATGTATGTATGTGGATGTAAGTATGCGTATATATTAATATATATATATATATTATATTATACGTGAGTAAGCCCAGAAATCACGTACTTAAGTACACAAGCTTTTGGGGTCGTCGAAGCATCATTGGCACTGGCAGCCCAGCAATTTCGCCGCTTTCTTGTCGACACCGACGCCGCTGGAAAGATCAACACAACACAAACCCTGCCCTGTCCTATCAGCGGGACGGTCGTTCCTCCAAAACCCCATCATTCCGCTCGTTTTTCTTCTTCTTCTTCTGCATCATCGAAAAATGCGTGAACAATCATGTATCGGCTTCTTTTTGTCCTTCTCTTCGTCGCAACCACGCTCGCTCAATACCCGCCCGTCGCGTTAAACCTGACCACCATCAAGAGCCCTATCGACGGCAACATCACCATTTCTTACAAGTCTCCGCCTCCAGGCACTTGCGAAACCGCTTTCGATACGCAGCAGCAGTACACAGGATGGGTTCATTTACCCGGGACGTACCCGACGAATACGTTCTTTTGGTTTGTAGGAGCTAGGGCTCCAACAGATCAATTGACGGTATGGCTGAATGGAGGGCCTGGGTCGAGTTCGATGATCGGCTTCTTCACTGAGAATGGTCCTTGCGAAGTTGTTGAGAAGGGTATGGGCCAGCTGGGCACACAATTCAGGGATTGGGGATGGGATCGCGGGTCAAATATGCTGTTTATTGATCAGGTACGACGGGAAATTTCTTTGGATAATTGTAGCTCGGTGGTTGAGAAAAGTCTGGTTTGGGCCTACGATATGCGCAATCTTCTGCTGGAAGCTCGAGGATGAATATGCCAGGTACTCAATATTCGTCGCGCGCGGTCGACCATCATTCTTTCGCCAGAGTCGCATGCTGTGCCAATTTTGATATCCTACGATTGCTATTCCTACTGACTACAGTACAGCCAAACCAGGTCGGCTTCTCTTACGATACACCTACCAATGGCTCCCTCGATCTCCTTACATCGAACCTTTACAACCCTCCCCAAACCCTACCGAATTCGCAACCAGCAAGTACTTTCATGAACGGGACGTTCAGCTCCCTCAACGTCAACAACACTGCAAACACGACCGAAATCGCCGGAATGGCTATCTGGCACATGCTCCAAGGCTTCCTAGGTGCTTTCCCTGAATATGGACCGAATAGCAGTACAACGATGGGTGTACACTTATTTGCCGAGAGCTATGGTGGGAAATACGGCCCTGCATTTGCTAGTATTTGGGAGGAACAGAACAAGCGCCGAGCGAACGGAACAATCTCGAGAAGTGGGAGTGTCGAGATCAAGCTCGCTTCCCTAGGTATCGTCAATGGCTGTGTGGACGACTTGATACAGGCGCCCTTCTACCCAGCAATGGCTGTCAACAATACCTTCGGCTTACAAGCCATCAACCCAACCCGAGCAAAACTTGCAAGCGCAAGCTTCTACTCGGCAGGAGGATGTCAGGATCTCACAAAGCAATGTCGAGTGGCAGTTGCTAGTCAAGATCCCGAAAATGAAGGCGATGTCAAGGTCGTCAACACCATATGCGCAAATGCCTATAGTAGCTGTTCCGTCAACGTCCTACAGCCATACTTCGATGCTGGCAGGAGTATCTACGATATCGCCCACTACACTCCCGAATCATTTCCTCCAAGCACATACTTGGAGTACCTAAATACTGCCTCTGTGCAGGCCGCCATCGGCTCCCCCGTCAACTTCACGCAAACAAACCTTCAAGTCGTCTCGGCGTTTACCTCTACAGGCGATTACGAGCGCATGTCTCTCATCCCAGATATCGCCGCTCTCCTTAACTCCGGCATCAGAGTAGGCTTCATGTATGGCGATCGCGACTACATTTGCAACTGGCTCGGCGGCGAAGCCATATCTCTTGCTGTAGCCGAAGCCACCTCCCCTTCATATGCATCCATCTTCCGTAGCGCAGGCTACGCTCCCATCATCGTCAACACATCCTACATTGGCGGCGTAGTCCGGCAGTTTGGGAACTTGTCGTTTTCACGCATCTACGACTCAGGCCATAGCGTGCCCGCCTACCAGCCCGAAACAGCCTTCCAAGTCTTCGCCCGCATCATGAGCGGAACCTCAATTTCCACAGGAGAAGTAATAAATCGTACTACATACAACACCACCGGTCCATTGAACGCCACGTACACGAATGATCTCCCCCCGTCACCGTCCGCTACATGCTATCAGCGTAATATTCCGGACACATGTACGGACGATCAGAAAAAGATGATTGTTAATAAGAAAGGTGCGATAATCAATGGGGTGTTGTATGAGTCGGCTAGCGACTGGATCTCAGTGAGCCCCTTGACAACGAGCTCTGTGGCGAGTTCGGGGACGGAGACGGTGGAGGTGATGACTACGACGCAGACGCTCACTGGGTTTTTCACGGCAACTGCAACGCCGAGTCTCAAGAAAGGAAAGGGGGTTCCAGGTTTCGAGACTAATGCTAAGATGATGGCGATACCGTTTTGGGGGCTACTGATCACTATGGTACTTTCTTGATGACAGGGGGGGAAATGACGGGCAGGACAGGACGTCTTGGAACAAACACGGCATCTTGAGGCGCACGTGGGCGTCCACGGAGAAAACGACACGCACAGGCGGTTGGAATGAGTTGACACGAATCAAATACCCTGCCTACTGGCAACACAGTACAGAACGGCTGGGTAAGCAGAGACTTGAGGGATTAGACTTGATTTCATTTCAACATTTGGATGACTGGAAGACACGGAGATGGAGCAATGGATGGTTGATAACGATCGGGAGGAATGGAAGATCTAGATCTTGAAGTCCGTATTGCCATGGATGAACGAACGTACATGCATGCATCGTCATTGGAGTCAAGGGTCCTCGACATGCTGAAGTGGATGGTGGATAAAACGATGAATTTGAGGAAAACTGCTAGGAGCTGGTGGCGTTGTTGGGCTACTGTTCCCATACAGGTAACAGAGCTTGTGGCTCTGGTTACCATGATAGCTCTCGCAAATTTCCATCATTCTGGGATGGCCTGGGGATGGCCTGGGTGTGGGTGCAGAGGCCGTGGAGGCAAGATCGCAGGAGTCAACCAGCATTTGTAATAGCGTCAGCGCATCTTCTTCGAGCCCGAGCACGAAGCTCGAATTCTCAATGAAAATCTGTTATGGGCAGACCAGTACACACAAGCTCAGGCACTGGACTGGGATTCATATGCCGATGAAACTTTCAAGACGAGTCAGTAAAGTAGTGTGAAGAATATTTGCAAGAAAAAACTGGATACATAGAAGAACTATCAGATCTACAGCCCTGTCACAGGCATTCTCATCAATACCAACGTGTGGCTTTATGTTGACCGTCGTGATTATTGATCATCATGTAATAGTGTTGGGGAGAAGACGATGAGAAATTATGGGAGTGCATACCTGATGTGTTCTATGCGAAATGCATAAAACCGAAGAGGAGAGGCGAACGTGAAACAAAGGGCGGTTCTTCTAAAATGTTTGTTAGCGGTATTCATGGGGGCGTGACAGTGATGAGAATTAATCTGAGCGCGTTCAGTCAAGACAGACTCGTCACCGCCCGAAGGCTTGGACATATGCTTGTCATTTGTCGGTCGAGGTCATCATTATGCTCGAGGTCTGTCTGGGAAGGGGAGAGGCAGGGCTTACAAATCGTCGTCGGGCAGACAGGGGTCGAGGATCCAGTGAAGGAGTCGAGCACCTCCCTGCCAGATGTTGCCGAGTATGCGTAGGGAGCTGTCTATACTGACTGCGAAGAGATGGTAAGCATATGCCAGTCATGGAGCAAGAAGGAATTGAAGGTTGTTCCAAAGATCAGTTGGCATGAATGGTTTAATTTAATTTGTGTCAACATCGGAAAACCGGATCAGACTCGTCATCTAAAATGCTCATCATAGAAATGGATTTGAGAGGCTGCGGAAGGAGAGGAAGTAGTGACCTACCAAGGGCATTATAAGACAACATGATCCCAGGCGGATCCAATCGCGAAGGCATCTCTAAGATTCTAATGAGGTATTAGCAAACATCTTGACATACAACACTCTGGCCCCGTGCTTTCCGGGCGGTATTCAGTGGGCGAGGTTTTCTAGGCCTGCCGCAAAGGGGCTTATCCTTCATGACCAGAAGATCTTGTCGACTGTCGGAGCCCAGTGCCATTCATCATGTAGGATTCCGGGGTGTGTGGGGGAGAGTGAGGACTGATATCCTACCTTTGAAGAGATGTTGAGGCTGGTCGAACTCCTGTAGCTTTGTGACTGTCAGCGCCATGTTCGGGAAGATGAGTAGCATGCAAGCAATTGAAGAGGAGGTGAGTTGCTCAGAAATAGCCATTTGTTTTCGACATGATTGTTCAGTCGGTAATTTCCAGCGTGCAAAGCACGAATGTTCATCATAGCAAGGTGAATTCGAGGTAGAAGGAATGGGAGATGTGCTTACCGAAGCTTCAGGAACAGGACGCAGTCGGCGGACTCGCATCATAAATGAACGCGAACGGGAGTCTGGAAAGCAGAATCAGCATAATCCAGAGACGAGTAATCCTTGGATCGACAGAATAGTATCTCCATATCAGACTGACGTGTTACAAAAGTTTCATTTCCCTTGGGATCAAAGACTCTAGTTTGCGGTTGTATGTATGTCATCACTATAGAGGGAGGGAGAGGTAGAGGAGCTGCGGCTTACCATTGCCACGTCGATTGTGCAGTTGCGAAGCTCGGGAGTTGTTGTCGAGATCGGAAATGGTTGAAGTTGAGGGTAAGGGAAGGTGGATGGAGCTTCAGCTAAAAGCCTTTTTGAAGTGCGAAGATGGCGCTAATCGAGCCGATTTTTTTTTCCCGGATGCTAAGGCACGCTAGGTCACTAATAGCATAGTTGATACACGTGATCTCAGAGGCACTCCAGCAGTCACATGAGATGGAAGAACATTGATGCGCCCGGCATCTCCCGCTCGGCAGCGACCAGTGATGACTCGTCAACAGTCACGATCGAGATGGAGATGGAGATGAATTCGGATATTCATGGCCCTCGGAGATCCATGGCCAGGCCTGCATCTCGTGTGGAGAGTCGAGAGGTTCTGAACGGGAACGGGAGCTCCTCTCTCTTGACGAGAACATGGCACTGGACTGGATCATACAGCTGCCGGGGATTCTCTCCGTAGTTACGGTATTCATTCATTCATCCATTCCATCACCTTCATCAATACAACAAAAAGTAAGTGCCCGCACGTCTTGACATTTTCCAAGTCTCTCGTGCTTCCCTTATATCCAGCCAGCTCTCTATCTTCTGCCTTATTCAAGCTTCTTTTTCCTACCTATCATCTACCTTTCTCTCTACCTACCACGTCTCGGAACCCCTCCGTCTCGAACCGTCGAACCGAGGTCCAACTCCGACCCCCATCGAACGAACCGTTTCCACTTGAAATACCTCGAAAAGCCCAAGAATATTACCCACTCACTGGATCTGACGACCTACCCAACCGACATCACTATCATCCATAATGGCATCCAACAGCTCGCAACAAGAGAAGATCAATACGGACATCGTTACTCTTACCCGGTTCCTCACAGAAGAGCAGGCAAAACACAAGGAGGCTACTGGGGATTTCACGTACGCTTCCCCAAGCTCCTTAAAGCCACCAAGCATGGGACTGACTTCCCCCCAAGCTTACTCTGCCATGCCCTCCAATTTTCCTTCAAGTCGATAGCGTACTACATCCGCCGCGCAACCCTCATCAACCTGACCGGTCTCGCAGGATCCAGCAACACAACCGGTGACGACCAAAAGAAGCTCGATGTAATCGGGAATGACCTCTTCATAGCCGCTATGCGATCGTCCGGGAAGTGCGCGGTACTCGTCTCCGAAGAAGAGGAGGAAGCCATCTTTTTCCCCGAACACAAAGGTGCTCGTTACGCAGTTGCATGTGATCCCATTGATGGTTCCTCCAACTTGGACGCTGGTGTGTCTGTCGGTACAATTTTCGGGATCCATAAGCTGCCCGAGGGCTCAAAAGGCACAAAAGAAGATCTGTTGAAGCCAGGAACGGAGTTGGTTGCCGCCGGCTTCACTATGTACGGTGCTTCCACACAGCTAGTTATAACCATGAAGAACAGCACAGTCAACGGATTTACCATGGATTCGGCGCTTGGCGAGTTCATCCTCACGCATCCGGATATGAAGATTCCGAAGTCGCGATCAATCTACTCGGTCAACGAGGGTAACTCCCTGTACTGGGAAGAGCCAGTCAAGGACTACTTCAACTCGCTGAAGTACCCTGTTCAGGATGGGGGTAAGCCGTACTCGGCGAGATATATTGGCAGTATGGTCGCCGACGCCTATCGTACACTGCTGTATGGTGGCATTTTCGCCTATCCAGCAGATAAGAAGAGTCCGAAGGGGAAGCTAAGGATCTTGTATGAGTGTGCCCCCATGGCTATGGTATTTGAGAATGGTAAGATGATGCTTCAAATGGCTGGTGGCACAAGGCTAACCTTTGACAGCTGGCGGACAAGCTTTGGACAGCAAGATGAACCGCATGATGGAGGTTACGCCAACCAATATCCACGACAGATCAGGTATCTTCATGGGTAGCTATGACGAGATAGAGAAGGTCAAGTCGTTCCACAAGTAGGCAATTCACGTACTCGGGCCAGCTTTTCGATTTGGGCAGAGTTGGCATTCAACAGACCGTAAAGGTATCATGGGAGGTGCCTACCTAGTCCCAAGGCAGTTTATGAATACTAGTTGAGCATCTACCTAAGCCTTCTTCCCAAGTTTCCAATTTTCCCATTCGCAATTCAGGATCGAATTGTAATTATGCTTGTCCGACACACGAATGCAGTCCGATATTCTCCCCCCATCAGTCAATATTCGAACGCTTGTGTAAAACAGTTATTAGCCACTTGCAAAACACGCATATCACTCCGATCAAAAAGAAAAGGTTACGATGGCTCGCCCAGGCTGGTGGTTGACAGCCACATTCACTTCCACACCAACGAACAGGCTTGACAGACAGCAAGGAGAAGAAGCTTATTACATCATATTCAATTTGTGCATTCGACACTCATATAATCATCACTCATACTGGTCATGAGACAAAAGAGAAGCCCAGGTCCCAACACCCATGATACGAGAGGGAGAAACCAGACACAGAGACCAATAGAGCCGTCGTCAAAGGACTGGAGACCGGCGACCTAACTCGAGGTTTCGTGTTTACCCAACCCGACATGTTGGGGAGATTAGTACTCTTTTCCTTCTACAACCATAAATCATCACTGACAGGCTTCTTCTTATGTTCCCCCGAGAAATCCAGCTTCATGTCAATCTTTGGCGGCGGCTGCAGAGGAGCTGACGCCTTCTTGGGACTCTTCACTGGGCTCCTAGGCTCAACAGAAGGACCGTTTCGGACATCGCGCGTATCCCAACCATCTTCCACAGCTGCGGCAACCCAGCATCTCAAACCAGCGTGGACGCCTCCGTAGAACTTTTCCTTGCATAGGCGAAGGGTACCGCCAAAGCACTTCTCCCAGCCCGAAACCAGCATCTGCTCACGAAGGGTGTTGCGTTCTTCTCGAGTAGGCAGGCAAGAGATGATGCCGTTGACGAGGTCGAGGTGCGAAGCGAGGTAGTTGGTTGCGTCCCATTCAACCCCACCGACGTATGGAGCGGCTGGTACGGGTGGAAGTTCTTGTGGGAAGTGGCGGGCCATGAAGACATGGTGTGGGTTCGATATGTCAAAACTGGGGTCTGAAATCAGGGACGCGATGGTGGAGTCGCTCGTTTCATACATTGTCTCGCTATCGTGGTGTCGTGCTCCTGGAAGGGAAATGACATTCAGGTTGTGAAGGAAGATCCAGAAGACCTCCTTGGTGACATTGACAACCTCCTTGCACCAGACTCGGTATGGACGGGGGCGTCGCATGTCGAGAACAAAGCCTACAGGTCGCTGCGACTCGGTAGGCTCTGGGTCCTTAAGGTAGGAGAGAATGGTCATGGCACGGAAAGTCCGCTCGGCAATGGGGGCCGATTTCAGATATGTGAACAACAGAGAAGATACGATATTGCGGGTTGTGAATTCGCTGGGACCCTTCTTCTCCTCGTCAAAGATCATGTGCAGAAGAGCTGGGAAGAGGGTGTGTTGGATCTTTTCAAGGTGGTGGAGAGCCAGGGCTGTGGTGGATAGCGCCTTCAAGCAGAGTAGGACCTCGTGCAATAATGCATCCTCATGCTCCTCTCTGTCTTGATGTTAGCAGTAGCACGTTTACAGGACATGAGAGACAAACCTCCACTCGACTTCCATGGTTCGGTGCAATAACCCAACAATCTCCTCCATCCCACCCTGTCCAATAAACCCATCCGTCCAAGCAACGGTCTCGTTGCGGAGCAGAAGTCTCAACTTATGCAAGCGGCCGACCTCGACCAGCTCAGGCTTCTGAACTTTCCTCAAGTATGATACGAAGTCATCTGGAGTTTGTCCTTTCGCCTTGGCAATCATGGATTGTGCCGCAGCAACGCCTGTAGCCGTCAAGGACTTTGCGCCAACAAGCCCGCTGTCAGAGGACTTGGTGCGAGAATGTTTACCCGTGCTACCCTCAGGCTTACTCTTCTTAGTTGGCGACGTAGGCTCCTTGCTGCTTGCTCTCGAGAGAGTGAATGTTCGACTTCTGGGTCGCTTAACTTTGACTTCAGGGACAGCCTGGAGAGCGTTGGTTGCATCAGCACTTGAGTCGCTACCATCTGTTCCAGGTCTGCCATTCTTCGCAGCAGCTATCTCGGCCCAGTCTTGCTTGATGAAATCTTTCTTCATCGACATGGCAAGGTTCCGCATCTTTCCTCGTTGGTGCTCAGGAATATTCCGTCTGTCCAACATAGCCTCAAACTCCCGATCAACATCCCTATCTTGAAGCGATTCGGATTGAGCTCCAGACTTCTGTGATCTTCCTCCCCCGAGTGCCGACACAGCTGCCAGTACCCGCTGACCCTTGCTTGGGCCTGCTCTGTCAGACAACTCGGATTTGGAGGAGGACCCAGTGATCTTCTTCTCAAAGCTTGGTCGCTTTCCTGAAGAGACCCGTCGCATCAGCTCGGCGCTCTTCCTCGATCCACTGCTCACTTTTCGGGTGATATCCTGCACGCTGAAGCTGCTGGGCAGGTATGGTTTTCTTGGACGCTGTGCTGGGTCATCGCGGGTTATCAGGGTGGGTTGTTGGCCTGGGCCTTGGTAAAAGTTGCGTTGTTTCCCTGGGCAATAGTTCTGCGGCGTGTAGAGATCAATCTCGTCCTCGAGGACCTTCCCTCCCAGTGGCTGCTTCGCCAAGTGTTCGCTGGAGAATTGGGCGTATATTGGTAGTCGCACAGCTTCTGCAGCAGAATCTTGTGCCACGGGGCTCCGATTCTCTTTATCTTTCGGGGGGCGAACAGCTTCGGCTTGAGCCTCCTTGTGTAGGCTTCTCGAAGATTTCGGGCGTTTGAGGAGACTGGCCAGATTGGTGGAGGATTTCATCTTCTTGGGCTTGGGCTTAGACTCTTTTGACTTGGTAGCTTTGTCCGAGTCCCTCCCAGCTAATGACTTTAAGGAGATCGAGCTCAGGGTCTTCTTGTGCAGCGATTTTGGTTTCTCCTCCATCGTGCTAGGTCGGCTCCCATCCCTCAACTTGTTCGACGAAATCGGCGGCATGCTGCTTTGTTGATTTTGCTGGATTTCTCCGAGCGCTCTCGCATGAGGATGATCGTGGGGTAGAAATGGCATGGCTCCGTTGACTGGAGAGGCGACGGACTCGTGGGACTCATTGGGGGGTAGGAATGTTCCCGCGGAAGGAGTTCTCTTGTGCATGAATGACAATACGGAGGAGGATTTGGGGCGTATGTGGTGGTAAGAATCCGGTTGGGGCTGTTGCGAAGCCATGATGGGCAGGCCCCAATTGATGCTGTCTGTACTCTGTAATGGCGGAATTACTCTTAAATTATGCTGCAATGAGGCGAATAATGAGCTGCATGTCGAGAGTATGAATTTGAGGGTTTGAAGAGTTGAAGAAATGAGGAGTTGAAGAATTGAAGAGTTGAGAAGTTGAAGAGTTGATGTACTTGCGCTTCCCCACGGCCCGTCCTGTGTTGACGAGACGAGCGTGCTTGCGTTGCCCAGCAACAAGGTTTAGTCCCAACACGTGAAATCACTAGGGGTACCTAGTGCATAATCCGCGATACGATGGAATGTTCAAAGCTCAATTCGCTGTTTACTTTCGCAAATCAGAGACTAAATATAGCATTGACCTTGTGAAGGAATTCAAGAAAGCAGTTCTCGAAAACCGATTCACACTTTCTAGCCTCTCCCTCTAGAAAGAAACATGACTTGGTCTGGCATTGATGATAAATGTCAATAGTCAACAACCCCCTTACTTTGTCGCTTAAGTACATGCGTGTGTAAACGAGAGCCGGGGTGGCAAAGCACTAGAGAATAAAAATCGCTTGACTATTTCCTCTACAAAGCTCCTCAGCGCCCCGATAGTCTCTGTCTATCCAATCCAGCAATTCCAATTACCACGAGAAAACACCTCTCTGTCTGTCGAATCCACCTCTCAACTGGCTTCCAGGCTTAATCAACTTGCCCTGTAACACCGTGTACTTCACAATCCCCTCGCAATCTTCTGGTCGTACCCTAGCAATCCATATACATTGAGCAGCACCCTCCTGAACCTCATCAATCGCAGGCTTCGAAGGCGGCGGGCACACCTCTCCAGCCAGCTTCCCCCGCTCAACCTTATCAAGCCCAAACGCATCCGCTTTCCGGTATATCATAACATTGGCCGAGTATTTATGACCACCAACATGCGAAATGAAGTAGATGCCAACTCCACCGGGTCTCTCGTCGTCCAGGTCCCTGTACAAGCCACATACCCGCAGATGTCTCTCCAATTCTTTCCGTAACAGGGGTGCTGATTGCCCACACCTTGCATCTCGGGTCTTTTGCGAGCAGAGGAGGATGAGAGCACGGTGGGGTGAGGGTCTGGAAGTGATTTGCTCGGCAGTAGGAAGAGGATCTTGAAGAGGTGCGGGTATAGAGAATGGACCAAGTGGTGTCGTGTTGGTAGGGGCTTTGTTGATGTAATCTGAGATCAGGGTGTCCACGCTCTTAGGGTGGACATTCTCGATAATTAGGAAGGCGGGCAGGAGGAGGACTGTGGTCGGTTCTGCATAGTCGCAAGAGTGGTTTGGTGTGGGTATGTTTGAGGCGGAGAGCATGAGTTTCTGGCATTGTATTAGTCTTTCTTCAGTCTGCTTGCCGAATGAGAAATAACTCACACCATTGCTGATCTTCACGCTCGCCTTCGTCCCAATGGCCTCCATCAGACTCCCCTTCTCGTCCGCAACATCCCTCACCCAATCCGTCTTCCCAGTTGCTACCAAGACATGCGTACTCCACGCCTTCACATGCCCATAAAGCTCATCGTCCTCGTCGATCTTGAATCCCTTCGGCCATTTCACCACACAGGAAGTGCAATCATGGTCGCAGTCCTCGCCATCTACGGTTGGATCTACCTTTGGGAAGAGCTTGTCCCAAGCTGGGGCCTCTGCAGGAGTTGGACTTGTTGTGCCGGAGATGGTCTGTTGCGCAGCTTTCAGGAAGGACTTGAAGGCGCTCGCCATTGTTCTTTTGCGTCGTTCTGGTATGAGGAGCGTCGAGACCGAGTTCGAATTCGAGTTTGGGTTCGGAAGCGCATGTTCGTCTTTGTTTCTGGTTTTTTATGTATGTCCGTATGGAATTTTAGCGGGGCATTTGAGTATATAGTTTCACGGAGTTAATCCGAACCTGTGCGTCCCTCGGTTATATCGGTGGAGTTTATCTGATCCGCTTCTAGTGTCACGGTCCCACTTGGCTGGCTCTAAGACTCCGGCTTATCAGATCATGGGATGCCAAACGGGACTTTGGCTGAGCTGACAGACTAGCTCTCCCAATACAGAAAAACAACTGCAAACAATGTACGCGTGAAATAATTTGCCTTTAAATCCATCTTGGATAAGTCTCCTTGTGTCCCAGATACTTCGTCGGATCTGAGGAAATGCACATGTCACATGATATCAGCCCAGCTTGTTGGCTATGGCACCACGTCTGATGTTGTTCTTCGGAGCTCCACCTCCCAGCTCACTCAGCTGGAATCAAGACGATCTCCTCGACACCTTCATCGATCCCATTGCCCAACTGCTCGGGATTGACAGCAGTAATCCAGATCCGAAATCAACATCATCAACATCAACAGATCCCCAATGGAGATCTCTGCCTTTAGATCGCAAGCAGCTGACTACGGGTCTGACGCAAGACTTCGATCAACACCAGCTCTTTACAGGCTATCCTCAGTCCCAAGGCGACGAAGGAGCTTCTTTCTTCACAACCTCTCAAGTTGAATTTGAGATCTCTCAATCCCAATTGCCAGGCGACTCCTTCGCCTCCACCCAAGCACAGATCTCACAAGTCCTCTCCCAGTTCTACGAAGAGTCTTACGCCCGCCATGTGGATGTTCCATCTTCCCAGATCGCTCCAGCCTCGGAGGGTCCAGCATCGTTCACTAGCGACGAATGCTCGTTCACATCCGCATCCTTCGAGTCCTCATTTCGTGCCACTGCCCAGATCAGAGAAGCGCCTATCGCTGGCCGTCTAACCAACATCAGGGATGTACCGAGACCGGAGTACCTCGATTCCATCCAACCGCAGACCATGACCGTCAATCTCATCGTGGGCATTATATCCATGCCACAGCCCAGAGGAGTGAAGACTCGGCGAGGAGATAGCGTTTCCCTCGTTGAGGTCCTCGTTGGCGATGAAACGAAATCCGGGTTCGGAGTCAATTTCTGGTTGTCTTCTTCTCGGCCGGTGGAAGGGGATATGAGGAGTGTGTTAGAAGGTTTGAGGCCGCAGGATGTGGTGCTTATGAGGAATGTAGCCTTGAATAGCTTCAAGGGAAGGGTTTATGGACAGAGTTTGCGGAAAGAGATGACCAAGGTTCATCTGCTGTACAGGAATCGGGTGAATAGGACGGATGTGGGTGGCTGCTATGGTGCTGCTGACTTGGTGAGTGGCGATGGTGTCCACCCACAGGTAGAGAAGACGAGAAGGGTTAGGGAATGGGTATTGAAGTTCGTGGGTGGGGGAGCAGCTGTGAAGGCAGGGGGGATGGGGAGCGTTTCGGAGATCATGAACGAGACCTTGCCCCCAGATACGCAGTAAGGTGTTTTGAGCGAGCTTAGCCATAGCTAAAGTTACAATGTGCTATCGTATTGTAAACAGCTATGCCATTTTTTCCGGTCAGGGTAGAGGTTTCTCACGCATTATTTAACGGATCACCAGTGGATGATGTAAACTACGAGCTACGTCTTGTTTCTCAGCATATGGGATAGGCATCAACGTCAACACTTGAATACAGCAGTAGCACCTTTCGAAGGTAAACCGCGTAGTCCCATCGTCAAAGCGAAATCACATCCAAGATCCCAATCAAAGAACCCCCTCACCACCCCCGGCAACAAAGTAACCCACATCCTGCCCACCACATCTAGCCTGCGACCCCTTCCTCATCCAAGCCCAAGCCCCAGAAACCACTAGCGCCAGCAGCGCAGTCTATCAATCGCTACCTCGTGACAAATCAATCAGACCGCAGGGACAGCTTGAACCATACAGATAGATACTTCTCTGCTACTCAGATACTCTACCCTGTCCTATAAAGCACGCGTATTACCTAGTCGAGCCTTGTGGTAAAGCTAGAGTTCCGATCGAAACTGGATTGCTCGTTCGGGCTCGCAGCTTTCACACCCCGTCTCCATGGACATCTATAGGGCTGGAAAGATTAGGGCTGGAAAGATTGAGGCGGTCAGGCGCCTCTCGGTTGGGCAATGGCTCGGTGGTTGAATGGAGAGATAGATATTGGCGTCGTTCATCTATGCATGTAAATGGTATGATATAGGAAATAGTTAATTGAAAAAACATATATCACGGGGTGGATTGATTACTCGGTGGCGGATACTGCGATGAGGAGGGTGGGTGTAGGTGGGTGGGTGTTTTTTGGGGATATATATATATATATATATATATATATATATATATATATATATAT